AGGACAATTTTTCCAAAATTTCTTGGACAATTTTGGAAAGCAATTAATGATGATTTCGTCCGGGCCGATCCCAAGATTGTCCGGGCCGATTAGACATCGCCAGTTTCATTTCAGGGCAATATCAGGACGATTTTCCTCATATTTGAACTAATTGGCCAGGACGATATGTCTATCGTCCTAGACGATAAAGTCGGCAACTTGCATTAATGAGCTCATTTTTAGCTCTTATATTTAAGCTATGACAAGACACTTTGTAAGTGTCTTTGACAGCCATTATATCTTCGTTCTTTTGGGGGAAACTTGAAGAGAAAGCTTGAAAGGGAGTGAGGAATGGGTGAAGTCTGAGAGAGTTTTGATTTGTGTTTTGATTTAAAGATTCTTCTTTACCAATTCAACACTCTCTTTATTTAGCCTTGGGCCAATTTTATAGGGCTTAACATCCCTAACGAACTTTCTAGTGCCATCAGAGCACTTTCACCTTTCTCTTTTTTATTTCATGGCAGGCCAAACGAGAATGGGGGAGGTGGTGGTGCTGGATGGATTTAATGCTTATGATTATTATTATTATTAATGGCTTGACATCGCAGTGCTCTGACCCAGCGTAGCAGTGCAATATGTTGAATCTAGAATTATTATAGAATAAAGACTTTAATATTGTTGAAATAATTTATGGCACTGGTGTGCTCTCAAACTTAGTACTGTGAAGCTACTAAGCATAGATAAAGCACTCTAGTTCAAATATAAATTAAAATTTTCATTTTAAAATACTTTTTCATATATTGGATTGTTACAATAGAAAAGAAAAATAGCTAATTGAGTAGTTAAGTATTTATATTCTAATATATTTGATTCAATAGATGTGATGTCTCATAATCTAATTTGGAGGAATTATTTTTTGTATCTTTTAAAATCAAAATCAGAGCTATCTATTTATTTTTTATTAATACAACATCACCTGAAATAAAACTAGAAAACATTAAAATATATTTGCATTCTTGTTCCAAAATCATATATAATTCTCAAGAATTATATAATTATACTCTAACATCATCAGTCTTGAGTATAAAAAAAAATCAAAAAGTTAAAAAAAAATACACAAATAATAACCTTTAAGAATCTTGATCTGATTAATCTTACACAACTTATCCTCTACCTTGATTTGAAATCATTTACTACATATAATGAGCTAAAAAGCCTAACAAGTCATCCAATCCTACAACTGAAATCAATATACATTAAAAGTATAATATACATTTTAGTAGTTAAATCACAATAGTAGCATTTCATGACTATGAATCAGTTCAAAATTAGTAAAACACACATATAGTAGTAGTAAAATCTATAAATAATAAAATATTATGGCATAAAAGCTCATAAAGTAGCATGGTGGGGAAAATAATAAACTAGTATGGGTATTAGATTAATAAAGAAGTCATCATATTTTAGTACTATCAAGCAATAAAAAAATTATATAAAGTGATAAAACTAAATCATAAGTTAAGAATGTTGGAATCATATCAATACAGTAAAACCCTTCAATGATTACACATGCTATCCATTTATTTTATATAAATATCAAAGAAATATCTTAATCACATGCTCAATATATCACATGAACAATATTAGTACAGGGAATAAGTATCATTAAAAGTATAGTGAATCAATAATAATATCGAAAAGTATTGATGTCTGTATCAATATCAATAAAATTAGTGGCAGGATAGTGCAATAATAATAAATCCATGCAGCAATAATAAATTTGTATAGTAATATAAATAATGCCTCAATAATATGCATTTCAATAGTCACACTAAAAAAGTAAGAAGTACTAATTTAAGCGGTAATTTTTCCAAGTAAGCACGAATCCATATCAATATCCCATTGGCTTAGTAAATAGAGTCGCCACTCTTTATTTGTTGGCAAAGTAATAACTCCTTATAACTCTTAATAAATATCACATAAATCAGTAAATGATAACACAAAATCATAATATTTAAAGGAAAGTCTATCAGCCCCACTATCATATACATGTCAGTTTGTCTCCAAACAACGTTAGGGAAACCAACTTTTATTTGTCCTCACATATATTATTATCATAGTACTATAATAATAATAGTGATCAACTATTACTCAAATATATATACATATTTATTTTTAATGCTTGTATTAACAACATGCTTATAATAAAAAAATTAGTTTTTTAATAAGTAGAAATAGTACAAAATATAGTAATTTTTATTTTACCTCATAAAATTCAACAATGTTACAATAAAAATATCTAGGATAATCAGTACAATAAAATATAAAAAACTATGTAGTAAAAGTTCAATAAATCAAAGAAAAATACAATAAAATTAGTTTTGTATAAAATTAAATAGTTAAAATCAAAATATTTGAAAATAGAGATATGATTGAAATCAGCTATAATAATCTAAGCAATTTCTATAAAAGCGACAAAGTGATCCAACCACTAAATATTGACTTTCTCCCTTTTTCTCCATTGCAATACAATTCAAATATGAATTCATATTTTTTCTATTTTTATTTTTTTTTTTAACTTGAATTATTATAATCTGCCGATCTTAGAAAAATGTTATCCTTGACATTTTCTTTAAGGATAAAAAAATTGATATAAAATAGAATTGTATGATTAAAACTCAAATCAAAACAAAATTAAATAAAAAAGCTCATTAAATCATACAGTCATAAATTCATTCTATCATGTGTTATTCAATTATGCACGAAATGTGACATTCAATCTTTCAAACAAATTTCTTACCAATAGAAATCTCATGTTGTTGTCAATATTCTAAATATTATAAGTTCTACACATGATATCACTGGAGGAGGTATTGTCAATGTTGTCGGTGCAACAAACTCCCTTTGACTACCATAAATAACTCTATCATCAAGCTATTTGTCGACCTCACTATATGCTTTTGCTCTTACAGTCCTCTATCCTTTAGTTTATTTGGACTATCCTATACTAGAATCATTCCTTCCTCTTTATAGACATCTTACTACCTTGTGCTCTTGTTGTCCACATAAAAAACATCACCTAATCAATAGGTACTATTGACCCGAATATCATTGACCATAATGAATACACTCATCGTAGCAGCAAATAGATGTTATAGATCTATATCCCCTTGAATCACTATAACGATATTTCTTATCACTATCTATGTCTCTATCCCTTCTTGTCTTATCTTTGCTCTTCCTCATGCTAACATCATTTATGTTACGCACCTCATATATGGTTACTGATACTACAAAATTAACCTCAATCAGTTTAGTCTGCTCAACAAACTCAAAAAATTTCTAGATTCTTAAAAGCAAAGACAGATGTCTCAACTTCTTATTCAATCCTTGTAATAACATGTTGCACTTTTCTTCAACAATCAAAATAAAGTGAGGAGCGTACCTAGCCAATATAGTAAATTCAACTTTATACTTCTTCACCACATTGCATCCTATTTCAGCTTAATGAAAGCTTTCTACATGTCTTTGAGTTGAAGGAGGCATAAACCATATTTTGAATACTATAGTGAACTCGTCTCAAGTGGTCTCAGTATTAGTCTTCCATTGAAAATTTTCTATATGTTGTCCAACCCACCATCTATCAGCCTTTCCTTCAAAGAAGAACAAAGCCAATGGTAACTTCCTATTCTCTAGGCACTATATGTTGTTAAAGATTTTTTTTTAATCATTAATAACCAATCTTTTATAGCATAAAGTCCTACAACTCCTTGAGCAACGGAAGCTTTAACTTATAGAATATTTATAAGTGCTTGTTCCCCTCTTTTTATTTACTCCTAATTGATTTACTCTGTGCTTCCCTCACTACCTATGTTATAATAGTAGCTGACTGCATTGCACTATCTAATATCATTGAAGAAGCATTTGGCTCTAGTAGATCTATTTAAATTATGCACCTACACAATTTTGTTTTATCTAAAAAATTCACATGTGCAATCAATTATATATGTAAAATAATACACCTTAATCTACCCAGTCTGACTCACAATCAATTCTTATTACTCTAGTAACAATTCAATTCTTTCAACAAAAATGCTCTGATAATAATTTAATTTTCCTAACAATATTTCTTTGATACCAAAATAATGATGACCTTGAATCTAACTTGGAAGAATTATTCTTTTTTTATTTTAAAATTAATACCAGAGCAATCTATTTCTCTTTTATCACTATAATATCGGCCGAAATAAAATTAGTAATCAAAACATTAAAATATATATGCATTTTTTATTTTAAAATTATATAAAATACTTAATATTCATATAATTATAATCTATCATCATTAGTCCTAGGAACAAAAGAATAGCTAAAAGATAGAAAAAAAATTAACAATAAATATGGAGAATCCTGATATGATTAATCTTAAATACATTATCTTTTTTCCTGACCTGAAATCATTTAAACCACATATAATGACCCTCCAATATTATATCTCCTCATAATTACACAATTGAAATAGATAAGTGTAGACATAATTTTAATGAAATAAAAGAAATGTAAATAAATCAATTTTAAAAAAATGTACATAATATTATATCAACATGCAACTAATTTTAACAATTAAGCAGAATTTCATAGTTATAAAATTTCATGAAGTTACCAAGGATTGCTCAAAATGTTATTTTGAAGCTTTGATTGAAAAACTTTAATTTATATGATCAAAATCATTTTTTAATTTGTTAAAAATGGCACACTTTTTAATTTATATGATATTTTTTTTTCAAAAAAAAAATCTAAATATCAAGAATAATCATATCTATATCATATAGATAGTTATATGATATAAAAGTTAAGCAAGTGTAAAGTTATCTTTATTTTACATTATGAATTTATATATTTTTAGAAATTTAAGTCAATTAAGATAAATTTATATGGACATTAAATACATAAAATTTAAATTTAAAATATCTAGCTAAAATTTTTACATAAATACTACTAAAATATTAAAAATGAGTCGGCATACTGTTTAATTAAACGCAGGAGTAACTTGTACCCATCCCCTCAAACGCAAGACTGCTCCGTTTGTCCTCCCACCAGAATCTTCGAGCAATGGCATCCTCGAGCAGAAGCGGCCCCACATTCAAGCTCCACCCTCTGGTGATCGTCAACATCTCCGACCACTACACCCGCGTTAAAGCTCAGACCCAGCGCTCCGTCTCCACTGGCACGGCCTCCTCGTCACTTACGGCCGCCAATGGCAGTGCTGCGCCTCGCGTCTTTGGCTGCGTCATCGGTGAACAGCGCGGCCGCACTGTTGAAATCTTTAACAGCTTCGAAATGATCCTGGATCCCATTTCCCAAACCCTCGACCGCGCCTTCCTGGAGAAGAAGCAAGAGCTCTGTAATTACTCTGCTCTTTTCTCTCTCTAGGGTTTTGGTTTCTAAATCAATTGGATCGTAAAAATAAAGATTGAAGTATTAATAATATTACTATATTATTATTATTACTGTTTCGCTCTGTTTTTATACGGGACAGATAAGAAAGTTTTCCCCAACTTTTATATTCTGGGGTGGTACTCGACTGGGAATGATGCGGAGGAGTCCGACATGCAGATTCATAAAGCGGTGAGTATGTGCTTTCTCACAAGTTGTGCATGTGGAGTTGTTATGGTGTTGATCTGAATGACAGATGGGTTTCGTTTTTAGTGTTGTTTCTATATGTTACATTTGTATCAAATGTTGATATTATACTATGCCCAAGTAATCGTTGGACATATCAAGCTAGTTAGAAGAAAGAAGGTCATTTTAGATCAGTTTGATTCAACTGTGCAATTTATGATTAAAAAAATGAAGTTGGAAAGAAAAACTTAGTCGAAGCTAACTGGCTGAAATGTGGTTTTGTAAATTTGCTAAGAAAATCAATGCAGAATAATGTAATTATGATTAATTTCTTTTTTTAATCAATTAGTGTGAATGGCTTATGATTAGTCTGATGTGGATGGTCTTCTTAATCGTCTATAAAAAATATTGTTGTTTTGCTTTTTTTATTTGAAATGCTTCCTTTGCTTTTCTTACTCATAGGCTGATTTATTTGTTTCAATTTTCATTACTTAATTTATCCAATGTCCTCTTTCAGCTCAAATTATATTTCCTTTGTATTGATTAAATTCCAATTCCTAGCGAGCAATCATTATGGTCGCTACATATTGATCATAAACATTTGATTAAATTCAATTTTGACGGTCTTAAGTACTGTCAATACCATAGCTAATCTCTGCATAGCTATCAAATGTTGTAAATAATGAATCTAGAGTTTAGAAATGGATTTTTGTTTGAGAAAATGATTTGTTTCTATTATATTATTTGTTTTTGTTGCCATTGTTATGCAGGACATCTTAGGGTTGAGGATTCCTAATGAAACTATATGATGTCATATATGAAATTAGCAGAACTGGATTTGAAAATTGCAATTCTATAAACAAACAATTAAAAAAAGAACTCATACTCTTTTGTTGTACACTTGAAAAATTCAAGAATTCACACCAAATGATAATTGACTGGTTGCCTAAATCGAATAAATTTAGTCAGAAATTGAAACCAACAAAAATCACAAGTTAATCAAGCGTCATACACAAAAAGAAACTCAATAGTAATGAATTTGACTACAATCAATCATGCTCGTAAATCCAATGATGAATTATGTAGAACAAAATTGAACAGCGTTAAGAGCACAACAAATACATAAGATCTAGACCTCATGCTTCTATATTTGGGGATGTCTTCCCAAAACTTTAGTCACATATTCCACTGCACTTGAAGAACTTAGTATCCAACTAGCACACAAAAGATAGAAGGGAATTTGAAATTTTATTAAGTTTTGGTATTTGTATACTTCAATTACTTTTGTTTACCTCAATAGTCTCAATTCAAAATTTACAAGATAGGCATGTGAGTTTAGGCATAAATCCAGTAAAACACCATAAGATATTAGGCCTCCCATTATACATATAGGTAAGTATAAGAGTGGAAATGTGGAACCAACTCATAAACTAATCATCACATATTCAGTGTGATATCACAATATGATATAAATCACCTACTTAGATAGGTATGAGAATATTCCAAATCGCAATAGGTTTTGATGAAGAATTCTACATGTGCTGTTTCAAAAAATTTTACAATTATGATGCAAGAATGCTCTTGAAAACTAGTGAATTGATGTATTAACCAACTAACACATCAACCAAACAACAACACCACCATTAACATCAACCGTGTATCCCACTATGTGGGGTCAGCTACATGAATCTTTTTTTTCCATTGTGCCATGTTAAAAGTTAAATTCTCATTTAAATCTAAAGTCATTTATAATATTTTCTAACCAAATATTTGTAGGGCTACCTCTACCTTTCTTAACATAAGTCAAATCTAATACAACTACTTTCCTAGCCGGGTCATTGGAAGGCCTCCATTTTATGTGACCAAACAATCTAAGGAGATTCTCTCTAATCTTATCTTCCACTTATGCTACTCCAACCTTTTCACATATATGCTTATTTCGTATCCTGTCTCTCAAAGTAAAGCCACTCATCCACTTGAGCATCCTCATCTCTACAACACTTAACTTAATATTTTGCTTCTCTTTTAATGGCCAACATTCTGCACCATAAAGCATTGTAGGTCTAACACATCAACCAAACTAGAGAATAAAATATTAAGTTATATTAGGTATTATGACATTCATGTTCTAAATAAACTAAACTTTAAAAAGAAATAAAAGAATGAAATAATGAATACTTGTTATGATCATTTTTTTTCTCAAGATTTTTAATGAGTGTAAACTTGTAGATTTCCATCGACTTTGCTTGATTTAGTCATTCAGCTCTAGAAAATTAGCATTTGATATTCATGAAACAAATTAGGATATAAATGGTTTTCTTCTTGCAATATAATCCAAGAATCAGCACAAAAAAGTCTGCCATATTAGTGCAAAAGATATGTATTAAGTCCACCATAAGTTGATGATACAATTTCATCATCAGATATAGTTTCAAGAATAAGATATGTTGAATGATTCTTTAGTGTCTTCATTAATAGGGATGTAACTATCCTTAAATGTAGCAGGAGCACTAGATTGGGCTTGATTATTTTAAAGAAAGGATGTGCTGTTAGCATATGTTGTTACTCTTTAGACATGAGATTTTAACGGTTAGTCAAAGTCTAATGCAAGTTGAAACATGCTCAAGTGATGGAATATGATGTGGTGTTCTCTTTCATGATTTCTGGTCTCAAATTAGACCTAAATCTAGATAATGTGATAGTTTTAGGATCCCTACGGATTTTAGAACACAATAATAATTATTTGAACTTGCTAATATTCTCAATTCTAGTTATTGTACAGTCTCTTAAAGCATTAAACTTATCAAGCAATCAGTTTCACTATGAAAATATAAACATTTCTTTCATTTCAATCTAAAATTACTTTTACGTTATCTTCTTAAACTTTTATTCTACTTCTCCATATTTACTAGGACATTTTCGCTTGCTCAGTTAGTTTTGGTTTTGCAAATATCACTTGATACTCACCAAACATTATTCCACAACAACAACAACAACAACATCAAGCCTTTATCCCACTACGTGGGGTCGGCTACATGAATCCTTTTTCTCCATTGTGTTCTATTAAAAGTCAAATTCTCATTTAAACCTAATAAAGAAAGGTCATTCCTAATATTTTCTAACCAAGTCTTTTTAGGTCTACCCCTACCTTTCTTAACATAAGTCAAATCTAATACCTCTACTCTCCTAACCGGGTCATCGAAAGGCCGTTAAGTCAAATCTAAAATCCTTTTTCACCAAACATTATTCCATACAAAAAAATTATTTGTCCTCGTTACATAGTCAAAAAATACCATAGTATTTATCTTTCCATCCTAAGTAGACTCTTCAATGTTAGACTTATTTACTTTTGTCATCATCTACCTCAAAATTTTAATATATATGATTTCTATAAATTTTTTTTCCTAAACACCTTATAATGCTGTCTTAATTTTTCCTTTTGCGTTGAGTTTTTGTCTCCTATTAGAATTAACATTTGAGTGCCTGAGTTGATTCTGAAAGTGCTCTGATACCACTTGAAAGTTTGTCAGGGATGTTAAGCCCTTATGAACTAGTCCCAAGGCTAACTAAGAGGGGGTGAATTGGTATTTAAAAATTTATCCAAACAAAATCACAAACACAACCTAACAATCACCATAGAAATTAAAGTGTGAAAATTAAATGCGGAAAAATAATAAGAAAGAACACATCAGATTTTATAGTGGTTCAGTCAACTTGACATACGTCCACTCCCCGGAGCCTCTCCTCCGGGTATTACACTAAACTCAATGTCTCTCCTTTTGCCCCCACAGCAAGGCGGAGAAGCCCGTACAAAAAAACTCTTTTCCACTGACTTCGATGAGGCAGAGAACCCAACTCCTTTTGCTTCCTCCTAAAGCAGGCAGAGAACCCAACTCATTTTGCTTCCTCCTAAAGCAGGCAGAGAATCTAATTCCTTTTGCTTTCTCCTGAAGCAGGTAGAGAACCCAACTCCTTTTGCTTCCTCTAGGAGCAGACAGAGAACCCAACTCCTTTTGCTTCCTCCTGAAACAGGCAGAGAACCTCGATCAGTTGTTGAAGTAGATCTCTCTCGAATCCTAAGGAACCAGGGACGACGAGCGGAGAAGACGACTCGGATCCTTGCTTGGAGCAACCTTTTTGAAACCCCTCATAAACTTCCCCTCACAAGATCCTCTCCCTATCTCCCTTGCTCTCCCTCTCCTCTTGGCTCTCTCAAGTCAGGACAATAGCAAAAGATCACTTCTTGAGAAAACAAGAGATCTTTTAAACAAGGGCTCCAAATTTGCCTTAATTTGCAACTAATCATCAAATATCGTCCAAGACGATCGACCGATCATCCCGTACGATTTATTCAAATGTAGCTCAATCAGCCAGGACGATTTAGGAGAGTCTGGACGATTAGAAGGTTTTTTTGTTCAGATCGTTCAGAACGATAGTATATCGTCATGTACGATTATTTCAATTCGTTGAATATCATCTAGAACATCGCATTGGATGGATGTCTAGACGATGAAAAAGTAACTTGATCATCCAGGATGATCTCACGATCGTCCGGGTCGATTAGTACAAAACGTCACATATCTTCCAGAACATCGCCTTGGATGGATGTCTGGATGATGAAAAAATAAATTGATCGTCTAGGTCGATCTCACGATCGTCCAGGACAATTAGTACAAAACATCACGTATCGGCCAAAACATCGCCCTGGATGGAGCCAGGCCGCTTATGGATCATTCAGGAAGAACTAAGGTTTGTTAACTGATCGTCCCGGATGATCCTGCGATCGTCCAGGACGATATGATCGAGCAATCAAACCTTAATTGCTTTCATTAATTACCAAACTAATTTAGGCATAATTGTAGTGCATCGTCGAGGACGATGTCTTGGACGATGTCAAAAAATAAAACATGCCTAAAAAGTTGTGGCAGTTGATTCTTTCTGATTTGATCCTATCATCCCGGATGATGATAATATCGTCCACGACGATTTGCTTAATTATGGTTGCCTTAACCAGGATGCCCTAATTAGAGTTTCTGTTTTTAACTGATCGTCCCAGACGATTTGGGATCGTCCCAGACGATGTGGGATCGTCCCAGACGATGTGATAAAAAATATAAAACACTAAAAACATACAGAATTTTTCCATGAGCGTGTGTTCTGAGCTGACTTGATTTGCACTCGATCTTGTGGACCTGAAATGTTAGTAGACAAGACAGTCGTAGAAAAACAGAAATGTTTGCTATCATCAAAATATTCCCTGAAATCAGATTCGCAACAGATTCATTATGATTAGATTCAACTTATAGGTTCATGGGCATGAACTTGAATGATTTCCTAAATTTAATTTACACCTTACTTGAGTAATGTCCTTACTCATTTGATTTTACTTGTTTAACAATTCGGCTAGTTGGTTTTTTAAAGTAGTTAAACTTCCTTTATGATATGCTACTTGACGTTGATGTTGAATGATATATTAACTAGACCTTATGTTTTTATACTAATTATATGTAGGACATCTTAGGGTTGAGGGTTATTAACGCAACTAGATGAGGTCATAAATGAAATCACTCCAATCGCATTTGAAAGTTGCCTTTTCAAAAACCACTAATTAAAACAATAATTCATTCTCTTTTGATGTAAATCTTATAGTATGAGAAATCTATATCAAATGATGATGTATGATCTCCCAAATTATAGGAATTCAATAAGAGGTTGAAAACACCAAAAATCACAAGTAGTTTAAGATTCATATCGTCAAAAGACTCCCAAGTGTAATGAATTTGACTAAAATAATCATTCTTGAAAAATTAAGAACAGATCATGCAGAAGAAAATAGAACAGGCGATCATCAAACATAGAAGAATCAGGCCTCACATTGATAAAGGTGTTGACTTCCATTGTAAATTGATATTCACACTTAAGCTGCACTTAAATTCTTTTATACCGGTAATTGATGCACTTAAAAGAATTGATATTCACACGTATAAATTAGAAGGAAATCTGAAATTTTATTAAGCAAAAAAGTTCCTCACATGCCTTAAGTTTTGATATTTATATGCATCAATTCCTTCTAGTCTCAATTCAAAACTTGCAAATAGGAATACTAGTTCAGCCACATATACCGGAAAACTCCACGATAATCCTTACACCTCACAGTATATGTGCAAATAAGTATGAGAGTGGAAAGACGGAACCAACCTGTGGACTAATCAACACATTTAGTGTGAACTGGGGAATTCTTAGGATAACAATAATCATTGACTCAACTAAGTACAAAATCGCTGGAGGAGCTGATCCAGAATTCTTCATGTACCACAATAGATAAACTAGTAATTAGGATAGAACTGATGAACCGTCATGCAAACCTGTGAACTTATGGCTGAACAAATCAAGACATTAATCCAACCAAGGAATAAAAAAAATATTATAAGAACCCATCATATTCTAATAGGCATCATCACTGGCCATGTTCCGAGAAACTAAACTTTACAGCAACAACAACAACAACATCAAGCCTTTGTCCACTACGTGCGGTCGGCTACATGAATCCTTTTTCGCCTTTGTGTTCTGTTAAAAGTCAAATTCCATTTAAATCTAATAAAGAAAGATCATTTCTAATATTTTCTAACCAAGTTTTTTTAGGACTACCTCTATCTAAACTAAACTTTAAAAAGAAATAAATTTATGAAATAATGAGTACTTTCTCTGATCATTTATTTGTTTAACATTCCCAACAAGTGTAAACGTGTAGCTGTCCATCGCATTGTCATTAACGTTAGTTATCTGCTAATGACCATTTGAACTTCTATGATACAGTTTTTGGTTTTGTAGTGATTCATAATATAAGTTTGTTTCAGCTATCTTGCATCATACACTTTGTCATGTTCCCGTGCAGTTCACATGCTATTTACATGTTTATGTTGCGATGGCCTTTTTATATTTGCAACGATTCTTGCATTAATCATGTTTTCTACCTAAGTAAAGCGTTTTCCTTGGAGCAGCTAATGGATATCAATGAAAGTCCTGTTTATGTTCTTTTAAATCCCGCAATTAGTCATGCTAAGAAGGATCTTCCAGTAACCATCTTTGAAACTGGTAAGTGCAGTTTGTCAAGTCTTTAACAGTTTGCTTTCCTCAAAGATATTGTAGTTCCATGCTAAATCTATGATGACTTACAAATTAAATAGTCAGCTACGTTTTCAAGAATTGTTTTCTCCGGATCTGGTTTTGCTGTTGTTAACAACAGTTTTTTTTACTCTGATATTCATTCTCCGCCTTTTCCAAAAAAAGTGGTCATTGGCATGTTTGGAAGGATTTATAAAACTTGTTGAATAGAAACAATCTTTTGGATCCTTTTCGATTTCTCCATTGTTTTACTAAAAAGTGATACCAGTTATATTTTTTGTTTAATAGTTGATAAGTTAAAAGTGCATGGTAATTCTCTGGGCTCCGAAAATTCCAGCGCCCCAGCCTCTCGGCGCCAGCCCCTTTTTTTGTTTGTGATGATGGCAGAGAGTTTTAACAAGCTTAGGTTTCGTGTGGATTTTCATAATGCAAATTGGGTTTTAAATTTAAACTTTGCCCAAAGATTTCGCCCTCATCTTATGAGGACTTTATGATCTGAATTAGGGGTTCCTTAGGCGCAAGCCCCTATAGTTAATTACCCCTCCCGATAATGAAAGAGAAATTTCGATTAAGGCTAGCCGTTAAATAGGTTATATAAGTTGTAAATTTAATGTATAACAACAACAATTTTAGGGTTTGAATTTTGGATATGAATTTTAGAGTTTGAGACTTAAAGTTTATTACCATAAACTTAAAACATGTGATGGGGGAATGAAGATGAGCCCAATCAAGATCTCATGGTTCCGTCGTCCCGGGCTGTCATGGTAGGGTCTACTTAGTTAGAGGAGGTAGTTGACCGAACCTGACAAAAGGCATCTTATCGACATTCATGAGTTGTTTCATCCAAGAATACCTTGTAGACTTGGGGTGGTGTTTCTCTAAGGGGATAGATCTGAATCCACCTTAGCTGACAGTTGGCTTTATGCCCATCGAATATACCCTATAGTTTATTACTCAAGGGTTTGACGTCGTTAGAGAACATATGTGCTTTGGCCACGATCGTAATATAATGGTGTCATTTTGCGGCAAAATCACCCGATCAGAGGGCATGTATCACGCCTTTGTTGGCAAAAGATTATTTGATGATGAATCTTAGTGATACATCCGACACTACATTATTTCTTTGTGAGCTGTGGTTATTTTCAAATTTATCACCCCGACAAACGGTTGTGGGAGGTGGATAAGTTTTAGTTTTATGTTTTTAACTGATACGTTTTATTTTAAGGATTCAGTCTTTTATTGGTTTTGAGATTTAACTCCTCCGGTTGATATTTACATTCAACACGATCATCATCGGGGTGATATTAAAACCACTTGTATTTTCGTAGGAATTTGAAAGACATTTTATGATTTAAGTCAGGTCGACTCCAATCCTTTTATGGATGATGAAATTTGAATATTTAATATGCGCAACATTCACAGACATTGGCGTTTGCAAATTTTGTCGCATTTGTCGGAGCATGTGCGGGTTGTGTTTAGTTTGAAAATAAAATATTATATTAGTGAGCATTTGATCCTGGGTAACATTATCAGACATTTATATTTATAACTTTAACATGTTTTTCGAAACACATGCAGGGTTAATATCATTTGAACATGTGCAACTCTTTATTTGGGAACTTGTAGACGCCTTCTATCTGCTAATATGAGTGTTGCATATCTTGTGGCGCATGAATATTTTTAATGAATTCATGATGTTTCTTGGAGTGAAACATTTTACCAGATCATGATCGAGTCTTGACTTTTTCTACATTTGCACACAGTTAAATTGATCATAGCTTCATTATGCCTATAAATATCTTGAATCAACATGTGATCATCAAACTCCTAGCCATCATGTCATGACTTTTGACTTTTTAGGTTAACAATCTCCCTTCTTTGAAAGCAGTATTGTTTGCAGCATTGACAACTGATGAAAATGAATTTAGAAGTGTTATATAACTCTCCAATAACTGAAAGGAAGAAATTAGTCCATCTCTCCTCTCATAGGAATTAGCTTATTTGTCCCTATGTCATTCTCAAAATAGCTCCTAGGATAAGGGTTATGAATTTCTTATTTTACAATCACAATGATTGTCAGGGAAAACAATAGATAAAAATAAAAGGATGCATAATCGAGTGTCAAGGTGGGATAGCGGTCTATCCCATGGTTCTCATAATCTTGTTGTACAAGTCGCAGAGCAAACACAAGGAGAGCTATAAAAGTTTCGTACAAACTTGCTTCATTGAACACTTACAGTGCTTTGGCTAACTCTATAAGAATCTTAACAGAAGAAATAAGATACAAATGCCTTTCATCTATTGTGTTTTCATAGTTATATCAAAATGGATCAAACAAGTGATCTATCATTTCCCAAATAATGGTTAAAAGTAGGACCACTCAATCCAACATCAACTAGTATAATCAGCCGTCATTTCCTCCACCACTTTTATTATCCTAAATATACTAGATCTATGAAGTCGTACATGGTTTCCCTTTTTTATTAATTGAAATGACACAAATTTTAATTATATATAAGTATATTTATTATTATTATAATAACAGATTTTATTTTGAAATTAATTGTAAGGGTTCTTTGTATCATTTGTAATTTCAACACCTTCCCGGCATCCCCTCCTCGCGAAAGGAGGATGGGGAGGGCACTTGCCCTTTGAAATCTACTTAACCGGATTAAATCAACAGTGAGGACTTCGGGGGAGTGAATCGACCCCAGAAATAGTCTTCCAATCTTCCATTGCGCGCGACCTGTTAATTAAATGATTTAATTTTTTTAAGTAGTTTTTAAACCCCCTTGAAAATCCAGTAGCCTTCCGTTTGGGGAGAGCACTTGCCCTTTTAATCCGCCCATCCGGAATGATAATCGATGGCCGAGGGCTTCAGGACGTTTGGTCTCGCAATTGGGCTCCAGGTCTTCAATTGTGCACGACTTGTTAATTTTAATTTAAAACGCACATTTTTTGTTCCCCTTAAAAACCTGACAGCCTTCCAGCGCCCCCGCCCTATGAGGGGAGGTTGGGGAGGGCACTTGCCCTTTTAATCCGCCTAGACGGAAAGATAATAGACGGCCGAGAGCTTCTTGACGTTGTTTGGTCCAGGAATTGGTCTTCGAGTCTTTTATCCACTCGGTCGGACTAGGTCGATGGCTAAGAGCTTCAAGGAACCGAATCAACCTCGGGACTTCCTTCAAGTCTTCTTCTGTTGCGGTACATATTTGAAAATCCTTTCTCTCTCTCTCCCTCTCTCTTTCCTATATATCACAGAGAGGGATAAAGAGCTGGGTTAGCTGGCGGCTAGGGCAGGACGGGTGCAGGCGTCAAATTGATTGAGAGTGACTGCAGGTCGAACAGAGGTCAGGTTGGAAAGAGCGGCGGTCGAGCGAGAGAAAGCTTCGTGCCTGGTTTGCAAGCTGGATGAGAAATGTGCTTCCAGCCTATTGCGAATATAGAATGGGAGAGAATGAGAAGGGCTAGGGCTTCTACTTGGCTTCGATCGTCTCCGGTAAGCTTTCATTATCCAAATTCATTATCCTCTTAGCACTTTGAGAGCTATCCTTTGGACCATTAAGTGGCGCCAAAGAAATATAGAATAAGTAGGGCAGGGAATCAAACTAAGGGGCTGTTTGTTTGGAAGTAAAGTTGTTGTAAAGTATTTCTTTCGCAAAGGTTTTGAAAATATTATTGCTTGATTGGATGAAAAAAAATGCAGTGTAAAGTATTATATATGTAATGCAAAGTATTATACTTCATTTTTGAGGTAAACTTAAAAAGTTTTGAGTGAACGCCATCTTTATCGCAGCCAAGCAACTTTGGCACTACCTCGGCTAGCCACCAGCCGGCGACTGAGTCGAATGGGACGGTTGTCTCCAGGGTGCGGTTTTGTGAAAACGAGAGGGAATTTTGTTTGGTTGTGTCGTGTGCAGTCACGTCGTGTTGGCGAACGTGAGTGAGGTGTGGTCCAGTCGGGCAGGTTAGTTGTCAACATGAATCAATAATAGTGAATCAATAGTAGCAATAGTGACAGTAAATTAGTAGCAGTAACAATTTCAATATTTGTAAATCGGTGGCAGTAACATTAAAAGTATCGTAGCAGTAGAACAATAATCAGTAGAATAATAGAACAATATGGTGGTAGCTGTGAATCAATACAATAAATATCAAGTCGAAAAATAACAATGAATTCATAATATGCACTTCAATAATCATATCCAATATTATTCAACAATTAAGGAGTTTTGGCTATCACAGTGTTTTTTTAGTATATAGTAATCAGTAGTTGGTAAACGTTAGCTCAGTAAGCATAGTCGTCAATCCTTGTCTGTTGACACAATAATAACTCACAATTATTGTATCATTATATCACATGATTCACTAGAGAATAACATCATTGTATTTAATGGAAAGTCCGTCGGCTCACCATCCTATACATGCCTATCAATCTTTAACTAACGGGTCAATAGGTCTTTACTTGTTTCACACACACGCATTTATGAAATTAATATTGACCAACTATTTCCCAATCACATAGTTCATTCTCAATATGGAAGACCAAGCGCCATTGCGCTCCGAAACCTAACGCCGATGTACTGCAGTTCAAATAGGAATTCAGTTTTTGCATTAAAAAATTATTTAAGAAATTAGAGTTGTTACAATCTATCCACTTTAGAAAATATCATCATCGACTTTTTTTGTAAGGATTCGGGCATAATAATCCATTTAAAATTAATTTGTTCAATCAAAACTCATAAAAAAACTCATTGAACCATACAGTCGTACAATTCATTTCATTTCATGCCATTTACTTATGCATGAAATGCAGCATTTGATCATTCAAACAAATTCTTTACTAATGGAACTCTTAGGTTGTTGTTGGTCTTCCATATATTGCAAGTAGTACACTCGTGACATCACTGAAGTAGGTGTTAATGGTGCTATTGGCACACCAGGACCACTAATAGCTATATCGTTACCCC